CAGGAATAATGTTATTTTCATCAAAAAAGGGAAAAATAATGCAAGTCATCTGGTCCCTTGTAAGTTTTGGAGAAAAACAGAAAGAAATCCAACCAGCCAACCAAACAAAAAATCCCTTTGTCCAGACCCCTTAATATAAAACAGCTTTGCTTAATTTCTTATCTGTCATCAGTTCCATCTTTTCATAGATGGCTATTACAACAAGAATTCTCAAAACTGAACCATATTATATTATTATTATCATTATAATTTTTATTATTATTATAAATACTGTAGTATTTTTCTTACAGTATAAGGTTTTAAATAAAGTAATCAGAAATAAATATGCAAGCTTATTCTTTATATATATGCAAATACACATTATTTCATCAAATAATAACTTTATGGAACTTCTATTAAAAAATACAATAAAGCTAAAAATCAGGCTGAAAAAAGCCCTGTAATTTTTAGAGAATAATAAAGATATTGCCTATCTAAAGCTCTGACAAAGCATAGTCCCAAAGACAAACACAGTACCTTTATTTTCACAGGCCATCCACTGTATAGGTCCTTTGTCATAATTATGTTGACCAACAGAAAATGTGAACACGCGTACCTGTGCAAGTTAAAAAAAAATGCATAAAACAACTATATGTCATTAATTAGCTGTGACTCTCAAGTTAATGATACTTGATTTTTCATACATTTCAACAGAAAAAGAAAACTGTGAATATCGCCATAATAGATACACTGTTATTATGACATTTTGTGTATTCTTATTATTTGGTCCATGAAGTAGAACTCAGGAAGAATGTTCTTTCATACATCTTTCTTACTTTAAAGCTTTTACATTGGTTACCGTCCATGAACCATTTGAATTTCTTTTTTTTTTTTCCTACAGTGGTAATTATAACTCTTCAGTTTTGTTAAATTAGTTGACATAATCTCCTATCAATATTAGATGCTCACCAATGAATTAAAACAAACATATGCATGGCAGTAGAATTCAAAGCAATGCAAAACAGGATTTATTAGGATATAAAATAATTTCAGGAAAAAAGATATGGAATTTTCAGATACTACAGAAAACAAACTCTCATTTTGCTCAGACTTTCAGTCTTTTTTATGTAAAACCACTAAATAAGTTCAATAGAGTTCCATGAAAGTGTTAAGCTTCTGATATTTCATTTTAAGCTCTTGATATTCATTAAAGCTATATGTTTTACAAGCATAATTCTATTCTGTTTAGCCAATGCAACTCCAATCTATCTCAGCAAGTGAGGGGAGTCATGGCTTCAGAAGAATTCACCAAATTCTATCCAAGTTTTGGACTGAAAACAGGCTTCTCAGCTGAAATTATTTTCCATGCAAATTGTCTGATTTGAATGAGAAAAATTAAAACCAAAACCCAGTATTGCTGTATACAAATTAAAAATCCTACAAGACACATAGACAAATTACAAATATTGTTTCAACTTCTGGGTGAATATTTTGCTCCAAAGCTGAGCATTTCTGTAAAAGGTAGGAAAACTATTTTCCCAACAGTTTTAATAAGCTGTTCGCTGCTATCATGTCCCTCTGAAGAAATGTCCAAGGACCAGACTGCCTTTCCTTTTCAGGCATCTCTTTCTTTATGGACCTTTAACTTTACCACTTCGCTTTACAAATCACAGATCACAACATGAAATCAGAATATGGATTCCTTTCTATGGAACTTGATGACTATGTTTAAAACTAAAAACATAATACAATTAATTTGCAGGCAGGCTATAACTGAGTAATAAGGTAATGTTTTCTTTAAATATTATTCACAATATAAGATTGCAGAGACTCCATGTAAATTACTGATCATTGCTAAGTTTTTAAATGATTATTTTTACAAATTTTCATCACATTACTTAGCATGTGCGATTACTACCTAAGCCTTCATTTGTCAAATAGGCAAAAAAAAATTGTGTGACATAATCAGAGCTTATCTATTAACCAAGAGCTGTAGAAATAGCTCCAAATCATCAGTCAGCACCTAGCAATTGATGAAACTTTACTAGTGTTGACCCCTATATGCAAGAAGGGCGAACAAAGCTTTGTGCTAGATATCATTTTTCATAGAATTATAGTATAGTTTGGGTTGGAAGGGACCTTTAAAGGTCATCTAGTCCAACCCCCCTGCTGTGGGCAGGGACATCTTCAACTAGATCCAGTTGCTCAGAGCCCCCTCCAACCTGACCTGGAATGTTTCCAGGGATGGGGCAGCCACCACCTCTCTGGGCAACCTGTGCCAGTGCTTCACCACTCTCATTGTAGAAAATTTCTTCCTTAGATCTAGTCTAAATCTACCCCCCTTTAGTTTAAAGCCACTCCCCCTTGTCCTGTCACAACAGGCCCTGCTAAAAAGTTTGTCCCCATCTTTGTTATAAGCCCCCTTTAAGTATTCAAAAGACTCAATAAGGTCTACTCAGAGCCTTCTCTTCTCCAGGCTGAACAACCCCAACTCTCTCAGCCTTTCCTCATAGGAGAGGTGTTCCATCCCCCTGATCATTTTCATGGCCCTCTTCTGGACTCACTCCAACAGGTCCGTGTCTTTCTTATGCTGAGGGCTCCAGAGCTGGACGCAGGACTCCAGGTGGGGTCTCACCAGAGCAGAGTAGAGGGGCAGAATCACCTCCCTCGACCTGCTGGCCACGCTGCTTGTGATGCAGCCCAGGATACGATTGGCCTTCTGGGCTATGAGCGCACATTGCTGGCTCATGTCCAGCTTTTCATCCACCAGTACCCCCAAGTCCTTCTCGGCAGGGCTGCTCTCAATCTCTTCATCCCCCAGCCTGTATTGATACCAGGGGTTGCCCCGACCCAGGTGCAGGACCTTGCACTTGGCCTTGTTAAACCTCATGAGGTTCACAGAGGCCCACTTCTCCAGCTTGTCCAGGTCCCTTTTTAATTAATAATATGTTTTGATTTGCTTTATCCATACAAACCCTTTGTTTCTGCAGTTAAAAGCAGAATTAAAACAACTACTCTGCTGCAGTCAATGCTGATTCAGGTGTTTGTATTTTTTAAATACAGACAAAATTTGAAGTTTTTCAATAAACCTAATAAGACTATCCCATACAGGGTCATTTCTCAGTAATAAGTCAAGCCAATTATAGTTCTAGTTACCAGGACAGGTATGGGAATGACTGTACATGTGTGATGGTAAAATTTTGTTCTCATAGTTCGTATGGGTAGAGACAGATGAAAAATGCCTTCTATTACCTTGAAAACACCAGTATTGATAGTGCAAACATGACTTCACCTGATATGTCTACATCTCATTTATTTTTTTAATACTGTATCACATTGTAAATTTAAGCCACATTTGCCATCCCCCATTTGTTCTTGACTTCTTTTACAAAATGTCAGCTATAACTCTTCTAATGGATCTTTCTGTTTCTATTTAATTATAATCTATTTTTTCCAAGCTGAATATCACAATGCTATTTTCTATTGGTATCTCCCAGCTCACATGGTCCCTGCCTACTATACTCCTGTTCTTTTTTTTGGACTCACCACTGCTCCTGGTTTAGTGTCTTCTAAACACTTGATTCAGATTACATTCTTCTCAAAAATTATGGTGCAATAAGAAAAACCCCACTGAAGGCCACTAGTTAGATAGTTGAGTGACCTGATGTCTCTTTTGGATTAAAACTAACTGATTAAGTTAAGACAGAGTCAGGTGGGTTTGCTTGTGTGTGTATAAAACACGAGTCAATTAGACTGGACTGTCTAGCATTTGATCTCAAACGTAAAAATGAAACTGCATTGGATTCAAGTTGTGAAATTGTATGTAATTTAGGGAAAAGAAGCAGCTTGTTAAATCTGCAACTAATCTATAAAGAATTTAGAATTTAAATTATTGACAACAAGCAGAGGACAATAGATCTGATTTACTGTTCCTTGGATAATTAACAGAGATAAAGAACTGCAATGAAAATTGGAGTTTTTAATTGTTACTTGGTTTGGCAAGAGAGTGGAACATTCAAAAGAGTTTTCTTTTTCCTATTGCCTCATCTGGAATTGAGTAGAATGACAGACCAGCTGGAAAAATGAGTCAGCAAGTCAAATTAAACAAGCCAATTTTAGCAAAAAAAACATGCTCTGTGCTAACATTTTCTGTGACAGGACCCAGAGTCAGCCAAAGGACCGAGATGCGTCTGTCTATACCTTTTCCTTATAGACATCTCTCCAAAGAAGACAAAAGGCTTTTAAAGTAAAAAAAACAGATTTCATTACTTTTAATAGGGAATTATGACTGAGAACACTTGGAACAACTAGATCAGACACAATGGATATGAGCACCTCTCCCTTTGCCTGTCCTTCCTTTTAAGTTTGGTTTCAACCAACTAAGTGGATTTCTGAGTTGAAGCAAACTGCCAAGTACTCTTTGATCCCAAAAAGTTGTTTTCCATCACCACCAAGGCCTGGTTATTTCTTCTCTGTGCTTCTCTGCAGCCTCTTAGGTTCTGCGTAAACTGCAGGTTCCCGGGTCCTTTTGCTATGACTCTTGCTCTCCACCATCCACACCAGCGGATGGACACTTCTGTCCCCCAAACCATTTCCCAGGGGAAGTGCAACCTTGCCTCCAGGGGAGATGCATTTATTCTCTTCACAAAGAAACATAACTTTCAAATCAATAAAAAACAATGGAACAATCAGAAAAACAAATAGGAGCTGTCACACTTTCTGATTTTCAATAGGACTATTCAAAGTAAAGTACTCCTAGAAAACTCGCACCCTTAGAATGGAGAGGAACTAGAAACGGGCACCAGCCTGCTCTGCCAGCCCAGTTAGATACAGTCTTGAAATTGTTCTGAAATACAAAAGTCCTAACTTCTACCACTGAGAGTTCACGTCCAGAGCTGTGTTAATTCTGTCAGGAATATATCACGTGCTGGGAATGGGTAGCTAATTCTCTGTATTTTTCTCACTTTAATGTAAGGACAGTCAGACAGTGAGTGGCCCAGGCTGCCCAGAGAGGTTTTAAAGCCTGCCTCCTTTGAGGTTTTAAAGACCAGACTAGAAAAAGCCCTGAGCACCATGTCTTGATCTTATTCCTGACATCGGACTATAGACTTCCGGAGGTCCCTTGCAACCTGATTTATCCTAGGATCCTATGAAGGATGTCAAAGGAAAACAAGCAAAAATCCAACTTCTAATCAGAGAAAGTGGTAGACAGAAAAGAAAGCTATAGAAAATAGAGGAAGAAGTACTGTATTGAAGAAAATACAATTGTTAATTATACAATTAATTTGCTTTTTATTTTGTATTTCTCTCTAGCAGAAAAAGCTCATAAAACCCAAGGTGAATAGAAGGATTCTGACTGCTACAAGTATTAGGGGATAATGGCACTCAAGAGAGTTGTGATGAAGACAGAAATTAGAGCTACCCATGAGAAGGCTGCTTTAAAAACTACAGATCTCAGTTGCTTTTTACCTATCTTATTTCTTCATTTTGCTCTTGGAATAAATTAAAGCAAGATTAAATTAGACTCTTCCTTTGGGTGTATCATGTTATGAGTATTACAGAAAATTAACAGCTTGAGTGAAGTTAATTCAAAGTGGTAACTAAGCACAAAATCAC